GCATGCGCAGGGACGGCGGCTCAGTCCCGTGGCGTCATCAGGAGGCGCGGGCCTTGTTCTGATGACAGTGCCGCTGAACTGTAGGTGAGGTGCGGATGGCGCGACGCCGGCTGCGTGAGCAGCTGCGTGCGCATCCTGTGCAGGGCGGCTGCTGCAGGGTCGTGAGTCTTCCCGGCGCGGTGGCACTCAAGGCGAGCCGGCGTCCGCTTCGAACCAGTCTGCCAGAGCGCGTTTTCGCCAAGGGGCTCTTCCTGGGCAAAATCGAGCAAGTACGGCGAGCCCGGCGACCCTTCTCACTGGCTCCCGTCTCTCGTCCTTAACAGGCAAGAGGTCCAGTTTTTCGGAGTCCCCAAACCTGTCCGAAAAACACACATGCTGGGCGGAGTGTCCTAAAACTCCAGATTCCCGAGTCCCACGGGGCCTGCTCTGGGAAAGCGTGGGCCTTTTCGAGCAAGGGGCTCAGGAAAATGCGGTGTGACAGTATCGCAGTTATTTCATTTGTTTTTGCGACAGGGTCTCGCCACGTAGCCCAGGCTGGCCTTGAACTCTCCATCCTCCTGCCTCAGCTCCCTAGTGGAGTGGTGGGATTACAGGAGTGCATCTCCATACCTAGTTCGCAGCTATTTCTTGTTAGGGCAGTTTGGGGAATCCAAATCAAGGCGATTCGAGGTTAGCCTGGGCAAATAGTTTCCGAGACCTCATCTCCAAAATAACGAGAGCTTGAGGTGTGGCCCAAGTGGTACGGTACCTGCTTTGCAAGCATGAAACCCTGAGTTTAAACCTCAGTCCTAGATAAATACATAAATAATTTTAAAATTTAAAAGTAACAACTTAAGGCAACCTGCTATACTGATCTCACACGTTCCCCAGGTTCCAGGCTCAGTGAACGGTGAGTAAGTCCCAGGGAGAGCAGCGACTCTTATTGCAGATACCCACTCAAGGGAGCTTAGATGGATTGATAATAGGTATCTATGTTTAAAATTACAGCAATGGGAACACCCTAAACCCTCATCAATGGAAAGACATTCTGTGGTTCCTTCTTTCTCACACATAAAGATACAGTTCAAAAGAGCATAGGTCACTCTAGTTTGGGACTTGTTAAATTTGATTTAGATCAATATTACATTAGCTTGACTAAGTATAATGGATTTTTTATGTATCCGTTTGCGTTGTGGTGTCAACATATTTGGCCAATCATTTTCTGGATTGTTCTTGAGTGAGATTTACATTTAAGTTGGTGAAGGTTGAATAAAATACATTGCAATCCATAACATGGGCAGAATTTACCCAGTCCATTGAATGCTTGAGTAGAACAAAAGACTGACCTGCAGATTTTGGACTTGCTAGGGGGCCAGTTCCTTAATATAAATCTCTGTCTCTCTGTGTCTCCCTATCTCTCTCTCTCTCTCTCTTTCTCTCTCTTTCCTACGTATATACACACATTTATGTATGTATCTTACTAGTTCTGTTTCTCTAGAGAACCCCAACGAATGCATCAGGTTACATGGACAGAATCACTGAGTTCTTGTGGCCTTGACTGCTGTATATCCTTATGTATGACATAGCCCAAGACCATGTGGGCAGCAAGAGGGGCATGTGAAATTGTTTGAAACACAGTTGTTCCTGCCTGTGTGTTTGAGGGGGGGGAGTTGGGGTGTCAGGAGCTACTGATGGTGTTATATACAGACTAGTTCTGGATTGGCCACACTCACATGACTTTTCCTATTTTTATAGCATGTGGACAGGGATGATAGGCCCCATGGAAGATCAGACTTTAGCAGCTGTTGCCCGACTCAGGTCTGATTTGTGCTGGGCCTCGTGAACCAGGAAGACAATCATTACATTCTCCATTTTTTCAGTCCAAGGTGCCCTCCCCAGAACTGGGGCTGTTCTCACTACCCCCTCCCCCCACAAAAAACCTGATATGTCCCATTGTAGTACCTATAACTTCATCTTTCCTGCAATCTACAACATACCCCAATTTTTTTCCAGAAGGGTCAAATGTGAGAGTAACAAGTCTACTTTTACAACATTTAGAGACCCAGGACACTGGCTATGTGGGCCAATGCAGGAAGATTCAGCAAGCATTGCACCCAGTCAAGTGGTTGATGTCTTCGTATCTAGGGCCATCTGAATCCAACAAGAACACCAGAATTAAGTTGGGATGCCCCAGATCCCTTCCTGGTTGGCCTACCACTTGGTAGGTGTACATACCAACCTGGCCTGGTGTTGGTTTCAGGGGAGAGAAGGAAGCATCAGGAATGGCCAAGGGTAGAGTACCAAACTTTCAAGACATTTTTATATAGCTCTCCCCCTTGATCAGTAAATGTCTTGGTTATTACTCATAAGGTGACCCAAGAGGAAATGATCCCTTTCTGAATGGCTGTGACTACTTTTGTCTGCTCAGGCTGGATAGCAAAGTACCAAAGACAGGGTGGCTCAGAAAAAAGACCTTCATTTTTCTCACAGTTCAGGAGGCTGGAAAACTCTCTGGTGACTTTTCCTCTTATGAGGACATCAGTCTTATCAGTTCAGGGCTCACCTTATGCCTCATTTAACCTTAATTACCTACCTGGAGGCCTATCTCAAAATGCTGTCCTTGCAACATATGAATTTGGGAGGACACAATTCAGTCCATAACAGTGACACCATAGGGTATGTGGCCTGGGAGGAGATGAAGGGAACAAAGTTGGAAGTTTTTCTGAGTTGTGTTTTGAGAGGCTGTTCCAATGCTCCATAATACCAAGTGCCTCTATGTTGTGAAAGGTCTGTCAAATACCTTGATGGAGGGCCCTTTGTTGGGTGGCTGCTGCAAAAGGCACACTATATACTATAGTCAGTTTGGAAAGCTGAAAATAAGACATAGTTAAAAGTATGGCCAGAGTTGGTTGGCTGCAATATTCCCAGTGCCCAGGATAGAGCTTTGCCCATCATGGTCATTTAATAAGTGAATGGGTATTGGGTTTCTTTGCCTCTCCTATACATAGCACTTTTTTCTTGAATTCTCGCTAGTTCTTTTGTTTCCATTTCACTTTGCTGGGTTTGTGCCATTCACACTCTCTTTTTCCTTACAATATTTTCAGCAGAGTTATTTCTGCCTTGGGCTAATTTCCATCTTCTGTTTCTTTTTCTGCTTTTTTTTTTCCCCCTGAGCTCATGTCGTACCTCCTGATATCTTACCATTCTTTCCCCTGCTCACTTTATGCTCTTCTTAGAGGTAGTCATTTCATGAGGCTTTTTAAATGCTTGGCAGTTGCTTGGTTACAACTTTTATCTGCTCTGTGGCAGCATTTTCCTGGTGAGTATTCTGTACCTGCCATTTGTTTTTCCTATGCCTTTTTTGTGTTTGTGGAGATCTTGGTGGCTTCCTTTTTGATGACTCATCTTTGAATGACTGAAGTTTTCCTTGGACCGCTAGCTCTTTGCTGGAGCATCCTGTGGAGAGAGTCAGGATAGTGTTCCCAGGTAGTTGGAATTTTCCTTATTGACCCAGGGTTTTAGATGTGAGCCTTGTCAGCCCTTACTCCTCAACTGAAGCACAGCTGGGTACAGTTAGCACCTCAGAAATGTTGGCAAGATTAGTCCATTTTCTGCTGCTATAACAGATGCCCAAGACCAGGTACTTTATAAAGAACAGATACAATTCTGGAACCTGGAAAGCCCAAGATTAAGGGACCAGCTTATGGTTAGTGTTGTATTATCCCATTGCAGAGGCATCATGTGATGAGAAAGTGTGCATGTGTGAGACAAAGTTTGTTCTTATAAAAAACCCACTCCTAGCACAACAGACTCACTCCCACAATAACTGCATTGATCCATCCACAAGGGTGGAGTTCACATGTCCTACTC